CTCAAAAGCTTTCCCTGCATGGTGCCACACTGCATCATGCGTGCAGCCATACGTCCAAGTGGCCAGCTTTCCAGATTTGGTTCCTCTCCTTTCTCCTTTGAGAATTCTCAAAAGCTTTCCCTGCATGGTGCCACACTGCATCATGCGTGCAGCCATACGTCCAAGTGGCCAGCTTTCCAGATTTGGTTCCTCTCCTTTCTCCTTTGAGAATTCTCAAAAGCTTTCCCTGCATGGTGCCACACTGCATCATGCGTGCAGCCATACGTCCAAGTGGCCAGCTTTCCAGATTTGGTTCCTCTCCTTTCTCCTTTGAGAATTCTCAAAAGCTTTCCCTGCATGGTGCCACACTGCATCATGCGTGCAGCCATACGTCCAAGTGGCCAGCTTTCCAGATTTGGTTCCTCTCCTTTCTCCTTTGAGAATTCTCAAAAGCTTTCCCTGCATGGTGCCACACTGCATCATGCGTGCAGCCATACGTCCAAGTGGCCAGCTTTCCAGATTTGGTTCCTCTCCTTTCTCCTTTGAGAATTCTCAAAAGCTTTCCCTGCATGGTGCCACACTGCATCATGCGTGCAGCCATACGTCCAAGTGGCCAGCTTTCCAGATTTGGTTCCTCTCCTTTCTCCTTTGAGAATTCTCAAAAGCTTTCCCTGCATGGTGCCACACTGCATCATGCGTGCAGCCATACGTCCAAGTGGCCAGCTTTCCAGATTTGGTTCCTCTCCTTTCTCCTTTGAGAATTCTCAAAAGCTTTCCCTGCATGGTGCCACACTGCATCATGCGTGCAGCCATACGTCCAAGTGGCCAGCTTTCCAGATTTGGTTCCTCTCCTTTCTCCTTTGAGAATTCTCAAAAGCTTTCCCTGCATGGTGCCACACTGCATCATGCGTGCAGCCATACGTCCAAGTGGCCAGCTTTCCAGATTTGGTTCCTCTCCTTTCTCCTTTGAGAATTCTCAAAAGCTTTCCCTGCATGGTGCCACACTGCATCATGCGTGCAGCCATACGTCCAAGTGGCCAGCTTTCCAGATTTGGTTCCTCTCCTTTCTCCTTTGAGAATTCTCAAAAGCTTTCCCTGCATGGTGCCACACTGCATCATGCGTGCAGCCATACGTCCAAGTGGCCAGCTTTCCAGATTTGGTTCCTCTCCTTTCTCCTTTGAGAATTCTCAAAAGCTTTCCCTGCATGGTGCCACACTGCATCATGCGTGCAGCCATACGTCCAAGTGGCCAGCTTTCCAGATTTGGTTCCTCTCCTTTCTCCTTTGAGAATTCTCAAAAGCTTTCCCTGCATGGTGCCACACTGCATCATGCGTGCAGCCATACGTCCAAGTGGCCAGCTTTCCAGATTTGGTTCCTCTCCTTTCTCCTTTGAGAATTCTCAAAAGCTTTCCCTGCATGGTGCCACACTGCATCATGCGTGCAGCCATACGTCCAAGTGGCCAGCTTTCCAGATTTGGTTCCTCTCCTTTCTCCTTTGAGAATTCTCAAAAGCTTTCCCTGCATGGTGCCACACTGCATCATGCGTGCAGCCATACGTCCAAGTGGCCAGCTTTCCAGATTTGGTTCCTCTCCTTTCTCCTTTGAGAATTCTCAAAAGCTTTCCCTGCATGGTGCCACACTGCATCATGCGTGCAGCCATACGTCCAAGTGGCCAGCTTTCCAGATTTGGTTCCTCTCCTTTCTCCTTTGAGAATTCTCAAAAGCTTTCCCTGCATGGTGCCACACTGCATCATGCGTGCAGCCATACGTCCAAGTGGCCAGCTTTCCAGATTTGGTTCCTCTCCTTTCTCCTTTGAGAATTCTCAAAAGCTTTCCCTGCATGGTGCCACACTGCATCATGCGTGCAGCCATACGTCCAAGTGGCCAGCTTTCCAGATTTGGTTCCTCTCCTTTCTCCTTTGAGAATTCTCAAAAGCTTTCCCTGCATGGTGCCACACTGCATCATGCGTGCAGCCATACGTCCAAGTGGCCAGCTTTCCAGATTTGGTTCCTCTCCTTTCTCCTTTGAGAATTCTCAAAAGCTTTCCCTGCATGGTGCCACACTGCATCATGCGTGCAGCCATACGTCCAAGTGGCCAGCTTTCCAGATTTGGTTCCTCTCCTTTCTCCTTTGAGAATTCTCAAAAGCTTTCCCTGCATGGTGCCACACTGCATCATGCGTGCAGCCATACGTCCAAGTGGCCAGCTTTCCAGATTTGGTTCCTCTCCTTTCTCCTTTGAGAATTCTCAAAAGCTTTCCCTGCATGGTGCCACACTGCATCATGCGTGCAGCCATACGTCCAAGTGGCCAGCTTTCCAGATTTGGTTCCTCTCCTTTCTCCTTTGAGAATTCTCAAAAGCTTTCCCTGCATGGTGCCACACTGCATCATGCGTGCAGCCATACGTCCAAGTGGCCAGCTTTCCAGATTTGGTTCCTCTCCTTTCTCCTTTGAGAATTCTCAAAAGCTTTCCCTGCATGGTGCCACACTGCATCATGCGTGCAGCCATACGTCCAAGTGGCCAGCTTTCCAGATTTGGTTCCTCTCCTTTCTCCTTTGAGAATTCTCAAAAGCTTTCCCTGCATGGTGCCACACTGCATCATGCGTGCAGCCATACGTCCAAGTGGCCAGCTTTCCAGATTTGGTTCCTCTCCTTTCTCCTTTGAGAATTCTCAAAAGCTTTCCCTGCATGGTGCCACACTGCATCATGCGTGCAGCCATACGTCCAAGTGGCCAGCTTTCCAGATTTGGTTCCTCTCCTTTCTCCTTTGAGAATTCTCAAAAGCTTTCCCTGCATGGTGCCACACTGCATCATGCGTGCAGCCATACGTCCAAGTGGCCAGCTTTCCAGATTTGGTTCCTCTCCTTTCTCCTTTGAGAATTCTCAAAAGCTTTCCCTGCATGGTGCCACACTGCATCATGCGTGCAGCCATACGTCCAAGTGGCCAGCTTTCCAGATTTGGTTCCTCTCCTTTCTCCTTTGAGAATTCTCAAAAGCTTTCCCTGCATGGTGCCACACTGCATCATGCGTGCAGCCATACGTCCAAGTGGCCAGCTTTCCAGATTTGGTTCCTCTCCTTTCTCCTTTGAGAATTCTCAAAAGCTTTCCCTGCATGGTGCCACACTGCATCATGCGTGCAGCCATACGTCCAAGTGGCCAGCTTTCCAGATTTGGTTCCTCTCCTTTCTCCTTTGAGAATTCTCAAAAGCTTTCCCTGCATGGTGCCACACTGCATCATGCGTGCAGCCATACGTCCAAGTGGCCAGCTTTCCAGATTTGGTTCCTCTCCTTTCTCCTTTGAGAATTCTCAAAAGCTTTCCCTGCATGGTGCCACACTGCATCATGCGTGCAGCCATACGTCCAAGTGGCCAGCTTTCCAGATTTGGTTCCTCTCCTTTCTCCTTTGAGAATTCTCAAAAGCTTTCCCTGCATGGTGCCACACTGCATCATGCGTGCAGCCATACGTCCAAGTGGCCAGCTTTCCAGATTTGGTTCCTCTCCTTTCTCCTTTGAGAATTCTCAAAAGCTTTCCCTGCATGGTGCCACACTGCATCATGCGTGCAGCCATACGTCCAAGTGGCCAGCTTTCCAGATTTGGTTCCTCTCCTTTCTCCTTTGAGAATTCTCAAAAGCTTTCCCTGCATGGTGCCACACTGCATCATGCGTGCAGCCATACGTCCAAGTGGCCAGCTTTCCAGATTTGGTTCCTCTCCTTTCTCCTTTGAGAATTCTCAAAAGCTTTCCCTGCATGGTGCCACACTGCATCATGCGTGCAGCCATACGTCCAAGTGGCCAGCTTTCCAGATTTGGTTCCTCTCCTTTCTCCTTTGAGAATTCTCAAAAGCTTTCCCTGCATGGTGCCACACTGCATCATGCGTGCAGCCATACATCCAAGTGGCCAGCTTTCCAGATTTGGTTCCTCTCCTTTCTCCTTTGAGAATTCTCAAAAGCTTTCCCTGCATGGTGCCACACTGCATCATGCGTGCAGCCATACATCCAAGTGGCCAGCTTTCCAGATTTGGTTCCTCTCCTTTCTCCTTTGAGAATTCTCAAAAGCTTTCCCTGCATGGTGCCACACTGCATCATGCGTGCAGCCATACGTCCAAGTGGCCAGCTTTCCAGATTTGGTTCCTCTCCTTTCTCCTTTGAGAATTCTCAAAAGCTTTCCCTGCATGGTGCCACACTGCATCATGCGTGCAGCCATACGTCCAAGTGGCCAGCTTTCCAGATTTGGTTCCTCTCCTTTCTCCTTTGAGAATTCTCAAAAGCTTTCCCTGCATGGTGCCACACTGCATCATGCGTGCAGCCATACGTCCAAGTGGCCAGCTTTCCAGATTTGGTTCCTCTCCTTTCTCCTTTGAGAATTCTCAAAAGCTTTCCCTGCATGGTGCCACACTGCATCATGCGTGCAGCCATACGTCCAAGTGGCCAGCTTTCCAGATTTGGTTCCTCTCCTTTCTCCTTTGAGAATTCTCAAAAGCTTTCCCTGCATGGTGCCACACTGCATCATGCGTGCAGCCATACGTCCAAGTGGCCAGCTTTCCAGATTTGGTTCCTCTCCTTTCTCCTTTGAGAATTCTCAAAAGCTTTCCCTGCATGGTGCCACACTGCATCATGCGTGCAGCCATACGTCCAAGTGGCCAGCTTTCCAGATTTGGTTCCTCTCCTTTCTCCTTTGAGAATTCTCAAAAGCTTTCCCTGCATGGTGCCACACTGCATCATGCGTGCAGCCATACGTCCAAGTGGCCAGCTTTCCAGATTTGGTTCCTCTCCTTTCTCCTTTGAGAATTCTCAAAAGCTTTCCCTGCATGGTGCCACACTGCATCATGCGTGCAGCCATACGTCCAAGTGGCCAGCTTTCCAGATTTGGTTCCTCTCCTTTCTCCTTTGAGAATTCTCAAAAGCTTTCCCTGCATGGTGCCACACTGCATCATGCGTGCAGCCATACGTCCAAGTGGCCAGCTTTCCAGATTTGGTTCCTCTCCTTTCTCCTTTGAGAATTCTCAAAAGCTTTCCCTGCATGGTGCCACACTGCATCATGCGTGCAGCCATACGTCCAAGTGGCCAGCTTTCCAGATTTGGTTCCTCTCCTTTCTCCTTTTCTCCACTCCCCCTCACTCCCCCTAAATCCCATTTCTCCCCCCCCACCCTCTCCTTACGCTCTCATTACTCCCATCTCTCTCGTTTCTCCTTCCTCCTCTCACTCCCATTTCTACTCCCTCCTCTCACTCCCATTTCTACTCCCTCCTCTCACTCCCATTTCTACTCCCTCCCTCTCTCATTTCTCCTCCCTCTCTCTCGCATTTCTCCTCCCTCTCTCGTTTCTCCTCCCTCTCTCGTTTCTCTCTCCCTCTCTCGTTTCTCCTCCCTCTCTCGTTTCTACTCCCTCTCTCGTTTCTCCTCCCTCTCTCTCATTTCTCCTCCCTCTCTCTCTCTTTTCTCCTCCATCTCTCTCTCATTTCTCCTCCATCTCTCACTTATTTCTCCACCCTCTCACTCCCATTTCTCCTTCCTCTCAGTCCCACTTCTCGTCCTCCCTCCCATTTGTCCACCCCCTCACTCCCATCCTCGCTCTCCCCACTCTCTGGATGCCAGGTGCCGCTGCCACTGTCTCGTGTCTCCTCACTGCACTGCTGGTGGTCATCACTGCTGCTACCCATCCCCTCACTCCCGTTCTTCTCCCCCACCCATCTCCCCTCTCTCTGGATGCCAGGTGCCGTGGCCACTGTCTCGCGTCTCCTCACTGCACTGCTGGTTCTCGCCGCTGCTCTTCCCCTCAACCACTTCACCCTTTCGCTCCCATCCATCCCTGCTCCCTCCTTTTCCCTCTTCGATGCCAGGTGCCGTGGCCACTGCCTCGCGTCTCCTCACTGCGCTGCTGGTCCTCGCTGCTGCTCTTGTTTGCGCCCTCTAGACCCCGTGGGGCTAGAAACCCCCTCGCTCTACTGCCCAAAGGTGTAGATGCGAGGGGAGGAGGAAGCACTTCAATTGTGGATCCGAGTGCGGTTGTTGATTTGCCGGTCATCTAAAAGATGTGTGCCGCTGTTCTGCTTTAGGGCAATGGGATGGGAGTGTTGGGGAGGCTGATGCATGAAGTAGATGTGTTTCGTGCCCTGAACCATATGTATGGTTGGGCTGCTCAGGTTGAAAGAATCATTACTTCTTGTGGCCACGGATTAAAGCAATTTACTGGGGGTAAAGCAAAGAAACTTTCATATCAGCACCAATCAGTCATGTTTTGTTTTGTGCCGGGCTGAGCTTGGGCAATTCACACTCCATTTGATTAGGCGGAAATGCTTGCCTCACACACACGTTTCAGGCACTAGGAGTTCCTTGTCTCACATCCATGTCTGCAGCGCGATCCGCATAAATACCGAGCCGCCTGTTAGCATCTTTGCATGTTTGTCTCCCGTGTAGGCCTGTCGAAGTTTCTGGGGCTCGTACTTGCGCTCCCCAGCTCCTCCCCATCTGACCCTTGGTTGGGTGTAGGTGAGCGTTTTGGCGCCCTTAACGGTCACGGGCGCACCCCAAAGTGTAAACTTGAAATCAGGGCATGTGAGAAGTTTGCACTTACACTGTATTTTACTATACAGCGGCCAGGGCTGTAAACTGCGGCCAGCTCGTATTGGACGCTAAGGGAATGTTCGGGTGCTCCAAGGCTGACTGAGACACACTACACACACGAGATTGGCTAGAAAACGCTAAGGGAAAAAATCCCTCGGCGCGCTCTAGTGCAGGCTAAGGAGAAAGAGGGGGGGGGGGGGGGGGGGGGGGGGGGGGGGGGGGGGGGGGGGGGGTCTCTGGCACCCTGGAGGAGGGGGGGGGTTCCTACGATCGGAAACCAAAACTTAGATAAAGGGAAAGGCTTGGTTTCGTCCCTTAACGCATCCGGGGAAGGGTCGAACGAGGAACCCTACCGAACTGCATTCATTTAAGGTTTCTGGGGTACTCGTAATGGATAAGCAGCCAATTCTGCTCCCCCACGTTCTCCAAATCTCACACCCAAAACAAGCCGAGTCAGAGGCTCGAGACTTCAGAGCTCTTCAAACATGTCTTCTCGAACAACGCTACGAGAGTGGATACTGCCTTATAAACCTGGGTAACGAGTGGCTTAGTGGCTTGGTATACTGACAAACTTCGCTAAGGAAGGAAGCGATAGGCAGCAGAGACTCAGAGTCATGTACTCAACGCCTAACGATAATGGGTGCATTCACCGAGCTTCGAGCACGCACTACAACGACTAGCGGCACTGTTTCTACCGGGTACACCCGTGGATTCAGCACGCACGCTAGACTCCCCTTCAAACCGGCGTCTACTAGCGGAACGATTGGACCTACTCGCAATAAAGCGGCGGGATGGAAATTTAATTTCAGCGGTGTCGCGGTGTTCCTGCAGTACCTGCTGTCGCTACTAGCGGGAAAACAGCCCGCGCCGCCGGAGCCGCCGAGAAAGCCGCGGCTCGTTCTGCTGACGAATAACTCGTTCGACGCGCGATGCCTCGATGGGAGGTACTAACTTAGTAGCTTTGAAGCTGCAGATGGGAGGGCGGAAGAAGCGAAGGGGTCGTCTTTCAGGTCTTGATTGAAGTGCAGATAAACTCCTTTGACTAATTATGTCAACTGCAGGTATCAGCGCGAAGGAGGGGTGACAGCGATTTTCTTTGAAGCGTATTGGAAATTTGAGAAGTTTGGTAAAATTCGAAAACTCGAAATTTTTGGAAAAGCCAACGCGGCTTTTGCAGTGTCGTCACCTTATATCCTTTCCCCCACATTCCCTCCCCCTCTCCCGGTCCCCCCACCTCCGCACCCCAGCCCCCCAGGGTGTCAAATGTTGGTAGCCTGTAGTGAGGTTTGTCTTAGGGGGTACGTATGTTAGGGTTTGCTACTTGTACCCCAACCACCATCAATGAACGAACACTTCCGATTTTGACATGGTATCACCTAGGTTAGGATCCTGTAGGATCCCGTTCCTCCCGACCTCGTTCGTATCGTCCGAGCCTGTCTCCCTCTCTCGTATTACTTACGCACGTCTCGCCCGAGTTTCGCCACGCCACCTCGTTTAGGGTTTCCTGCCACCGCTTTTCCGTTAGTTTTCACTATGGCGACTCCACGTGTACTTCGTTTCGACGCTGACGGTAGACCTCTTGACTTTTCACTCTGGCTTATGCGCGCTCGCCGTCAGTTAGAGAGTCAGGTCCAGTCAGGCGAGACCCTCTGGGCGCACGCTACTGGTGCCCTCCCTGCGCCCCCCGAACCTACGCCTTTAGGTCCTGCCCCTGACGACGCCGCTAGAGCTCGCTTCGCTAGCCAGCGCGCTGACCTGACAGCTTGGACGTCGCGTGACGCTGCGGCTACTCCACTCCTGCTGCTGTCTCTCTTGGCCGCCTTTTCCTCCCGTTCCTGTTCCCTGACCTCGCCTCATTTGAGCGCTCTGCTGACTTGATTGCTCACCTCCGCTCGCTCGACTCTAGTTACCGCGCTGCTTGCACTGAGGCACAGCTCGCACTGCTTCCTCCTCCCATGGCGATTACTATCTATTTTATCGCCACTAGCCTCCCCGACCGCCTTGCCTCCGTTCGTGACGCGCTTCTCCTGAAGCACCCTAGTGAGCTCACTGTTGACGTCCTTGAGTCTGCACTCAAGGACGTCGAGAGCAACCTCCGCTCCGTCGCCGCTGCCTCTGGTGCTGTGCCCCCCCCGCTCTTCCACGGGTGCACAGTTCCGCAGTTGCCCACCTTTACTGCCTCTCTCGCCACTGCCGCTACTGACGCGACCGCAGCTGCTGTTACGACTTCGTCGCGGTCCCGCGGTAGGGGTGGCAAGAGGGGCGGTGCTGGCGGCGGCGTTGGTGGAGGCGGAGGTAGTGGGGGTGGCGTTGCGACTGGCGGTGGTGGGAGTGCAGGGCCTGGAGAGACGTCTCGTGCAGCGACCGGTGACTCCACTGCGACTGCTGGTGGTGGCGACGCCCGCGTTCGTCAGTCGCCCCTTGTACTGCCAGCCCCGGTGGGTGGAGCAGCGGCGTGGTACCGGGCCCAGCGTCAGCAGCAGCTTCAGCAGCAGCAGCAGCAGCCCCTCTCCTCCCAGCAGCCTCCGCAGCAGCAGCGGCCGCAGCTGGCTTCGGGGTCGGGGCCGCGTCAGCCGCAGCGTGGTGCTGTTTACCCTCCCTGCGCCTATCAGGTTCTGACAGGTGCTCGCCGGGGCCACCCTTGTGGCCGCCTTCACCCCCCTGGTCAGTGTTTTGCTCAGCTCACTGACACGGTTCGTTTGGTTTACGGGGTTGGCGGTCCTGCCCCTGACTGGTTTCCCCTTGTTCAGCGTTACGGTTCCGCTCTGTGGGACATGTCTGCCGAGCAGTTAGCTGATCTGATTGGAACTCCTCATGCTATGTATGCTGTTGTTGACTCTAGTGTTTCTGACTCTGTTTACTCTGGTGTTGTTAGCTTAGGTGCTAGCCTTGCTCAGTTGCCTGTTGCTAGTGTAGGTTCTTGTGTAGACACTAGTCCAGCGGCTACCTCGGAGGACGCTTCACTGTCTTTCACGCTGGACTCTGGAGCCTCGCACTGCTTCTTTCGTGACAGCACGACACTTACGCCACTTCCTGCGCCTGTCTCTGTGGCACTGGCTGATCCCACCTCGGGACCAGTCACTGCGCGTCACACTACCACTTTGCCGTGTCCTGCTGCTCCCTCCGGGTCTCTCACTGGGTTTCATGTCCCCTCGTTCTCCCGGAACTTGGTGGGCGTGCGACCCCTCGTGAGTCAGCACGTGGGTGTGTGGTTTGAGCCTTCTGGGGAGACTGCGGTGTGTGTTGACGGGGACTCTTACCAGCCTCTGGCCACCTTTGCTGCTGAGCCGGGTTCCGGTCTCTACACTCTTCACACTGGCCCGCGTGCACGGCAGCGGACGCAGCAGCAGCAGCAGCAGCAGCAGTCGCCGCCGCCGCAGCAGCAGCAGCAGCCGCAGCGGCCGCCGTCGCAGCAGCCCCTACTCCCAGTTCCTGTCCCTCCCCCTAGTCTCCTCCCTGCGTCTCACCAGGTGGTTCCGTCCCCTCAGGTTGTCGCGTCCAGTCCAGTCGCTGCGTCTTGCTCCTGCCGGTCGCTTGCCCACCCCACCGTTCTGTGGCACCACCGGATGGGACACCCTTCTCTTCCACGTCTGCGTGCTATGTCTAGTCAGCGTCTGGTCTTAGGTCTCCCGCGTGTCTTGCCGTCGCTGCCGCCGTCCCTTGCACTACCGTGCGGTCCTTGTGTCGAGGGTCGGCTGCGCGCCACCCCTCACTCCTCCTCCCTTCGTCCGGCCACCGAGCCGTTTGAGACGCTTCACCTGGACGTCTGGGGCCCCGCCTCTCGCCTTGGCCCTGAGCGTGAGCGTTTCTTTCTGGTGGTTGTTGACGACTACTCCCGCTACACCACAGTGTTCCCCCTGGCGAAGAAGTCTGAGGTGACTTCTACGCTGATCAGGTGGTTGCTCACCACCGAGGACACTCGTGGCCGTCGTGTCAGCTGTCTTCACTCCGACCGCGGGGGTGAGTTTCGCTTCGGTATTCTCGCTGGATTCTGTCGCGAGCAGGGCATTCGTTAGTCCTGGACGCTTCCAGAGTCCCCACAGCAGAATGGGGTTGCTGAGCGCCGCATAGGCTTGGTCATGGAGATCGCCCGCACCTCCCTGACTCACGCCCGTGCCCCCCATTTTCTGTGGCCTTACGCGGTTCGGTACGCCGCGCACCAGCTGAATCTTTGGCCACGCGTCTCTCGGCCAGAGGCTTCGCCGACCAGTCTTTGGACCGGGTCCCCTGGTGTTGCGTCGAGGTTTCGTGTCTGGGGTTGCTTGGCTCTTGTCCGCGACACCTCTGCGGACAAGCTCTCGCCTCGCGCCGTTCCTTGTGTCTTCCTTGGTTTCCCTGAGGCCTCCTCTG